ACCACTTWGGCARCAACTTGCCTTAGCCAAGTTGATGGTGTCCCACCTAGCGGCCTGGCCCAGGCGCCGACCTGGTGACCTGCGAAACGTGCTCGTCGACAAATTCGGCATGCATATTCTAACACTCCCACGATCCTTAGAAGTTGGCCCACGTGCCGAACGATCCGGAGGGTGGTCAACGTGCATGGCGATTGCCTCCGAGAATCTCGGACCACTTAGGTGACTTATCAGAAATCTCGGATATGGTGCATGAAGCCCATGCCAAATAATGTCTATATAAAGACACCAACCCCAATGACATGAGGGGGGCAAGTAAGCATATTCTAGCTCTCATACTTTGTGATTTTTAGCTCGCAGTCTACTATGAGAGTACTGACTTAAGCATCGGAGCGACCTCGCCGGGTTAGCCACCCCGGGTCCTCTGACATTGATTCCTTGCAGGTCTAAAGAACTACAAAGCTCAACAATCAATTCAGCTCACCACCAGGCAGCTCGGCCCTCTGGTCAGCTCGGCACTCTAGTCAGCTCATCACCTAACTTGCTTAGCTCGGCCCAGTCAGTTCTGCACCTAACCTGCCCAGCTTAGCCCAGTTAACTTAGCACCTAATCTGCCCCCAACCCGGCCTGGTCAGCTCGGCATCCAGGTCCTCATCCAGCAAAAGTTCACTTCGGCCTCTGAGTCATCGGCCACTTGGAAGCAGACCAAATAACGAGATACTTAGCACAAAAAATTGATACATGACCAAAAATTGTTTTATCAGCTTTGCTTTTGAATCAGTTTTAAATTATATATTTCATCTATATTATATACATAATTTTTACTTATCGCACATCATTTTTGTTTGACATAATCAATATATACTTTTTTTATATATTCTTTTGATTACCTGTACTTTTTATTATATTTTAAATATTTATTATTTAACTATTATATCATCGATTAGTCCATTTGACCCAAACCACTAACACATGAGCCAAAAAGAAAAATAGTTTGATTTCTAGGTTGACATTAAATTTTGTATTACATTTCCATTATTGAAAAAATTATACCTTATGTATAATAATTATTTTTGTGATTCTTTGTATTTTCTATTTTTAAAAAATTTATTATTTGATTATGATATTATTTCATTATTTCTAGGTTGATTTTAATTTTGGCATTTCATTTTCATCATTTATAAAAAATACTTCTTACATTTCATACTTATTTTTGTTCAGTATAATGAATATACAATATTAATGACATGCCAGCTCATTTTATTATTCTTTTGTACTATATATTTTATTTATTTTAATTTTTTATTATTTAATTATGACGTTATTTATTAACGGATTTAACCCCAAATGGTTGAATTGCTTACCCACCACCAAGAGGGAAGAAAATGGTTTTGTTTTTAAATTATTTTTTAAAATATTTATTTTTATATTATTAAAATTAATGTTGTGGATTTAATTAATAGAATTTAATGATGAGAAAAAATATATCTTAAATATAGGATTTAATAAGAGAATATGCCTTAGATATGAGATTTAATGAGAGATAATAGGAAAACAGTTTTACTTCCAATTGGTTTTAAATTTTACCTTTCATTTCCACCATTAATAAAAACATTTCTTCTTTATAATCAATGTTTTTAACTTGTTGACATGTCCGATTGAACCATTCGAACCATCACTCGGCCTTGATTCTAGGTTTGGTTCTGTTGAAACTCTCCCTTTGGTTAAAAACCGTCTAACTTTGGGCAATTCAACTGATAAGGGGTGATTTGGCCCGAACTAATGAATGAAAGACACGTGGATGCGACCTTCCAGCTAGGCTATGACTTGACACCCCTCACCACCTCGATAGACCGAGCCACTTCGGGCACCTCAGTCATCTTGGGCAAAACTAGAGCCAGGGAACCTCGGTAACTGCATACATCGAAGTGGGACACGGTGGATTCTAGAAGCTCGCCTACGGTCTCCGAGCTTTCCGGGATTATACCGCGCAATTGTAGGGCTTATCCTCATCCCGCCCGAATTGGATGGAAGCGATAAGCCTTATCAGTTAGCACGATGGCCACCATCTTAAATGGAACAAACTTCTACCTCTCGCTTTGAAGATCCCAGAGAGACCCCTTCAAACTCGCGACAACTCAACTATATAAGGTCTTTGAATCCCCTAAACAAGGTACGCATGATTATTTGCTCACTAGCTCTCTCATACTCAAGCTTTCAGCTCGTAACCAAGATTACAGTACTGACTTAAGCATTGGAGTGACCCCGACAGGTTAGCCACCCCAAGCTCTCTGGTCTGTCTTCTTGCAGTTCGAACTAGCTCGCTACGTGACCAGCTTCCAGATATCCCTCCAACTAGGAGCTCTCAGATCGCGCACCATCATCAACCATTGACATGTTCGACCCAATAACCAAATCACATGTTACGCACCTAATTATGTGCAAACTTGTAAAAGCCATAACTTTATACTCCGATGTTCGACTGGCTTTTTTTTAATTTGGAGTAACTTTTCAAGATCCATATGTCCTAAGGGCATTATGTGCCTTGCATTGCTATTCTCACGAAAAAAAAAACCCTTTTTTGGTGCCAAATTGCATTTTTTATATTTTTTATAAATCAAAATTTTAAATGGAATTAAAAACATAAATAAGTGTAACATAATACATATATTATATGTAATATATGAAAAACATAATTATACTATTTATTGATAAAATATGTATTTTTACACACACAGACGCATAGTATTGATGTAGAACAGTTTGACTCGTTTGACCTTGACAGTCGAACTAGTAACTTGTGAGTCGAAGGCAAAAGCGAGTCAGCCTCTAGGTCGGTTTTTAAAACATTGTTTATAATACTTAATATTATTTAATATGCCAAATATATGATGTTAAAAACGTCCCCATTTTTTTATTTTTATATTTTTTTTCTTTTTATTATTTAATTGTGGCAACATGGATTGGCCCATTTGACCCAAATGGTTTAATTTCTTACCACCACCTAGATGAAAACGCTATTTTTTCCAAGAAAATTTTAAAAGTATAAGTTTTTATGTTATTGAAATTGTTAATTTATTATGTATGTATTTAATTATAGGATTTAATGATGAGAAGAAACAAAGAAGCCTTAAATATATGATTCAATGAAGGTGAATACAAATTAATACATTAAATGCTGGATTTAATGAGAGATAATTGAATGCATTGAATATCTTAAAATTATCTTTTCAACTCATTTAATATCAATAACTAATTACCCTATTTGTCCTCATTTTTCATCAACAAAATTAAATATAGAGGGGTAAGTTTTGTCATCACAAAATTCCAGAAATATTCTTGAGGCTATTCGTACTTTTTAAAGTAGTATATATATTCTGTTTTCCAATGCAATTTCATTCAATTTTCTGATTTTCATACTTCGTTCTACATTTTTCCATTTGTCTAGAATTTTTTCTATATTAATGTATGAATTTTTCTATTTTTTCCATGTAATTTTCAGATTTTTTGCCATTTTTCTCATGATTTCCAGAATTTCTTCTTTTTTTATAGTCTATTCAACAATTAGGACCATAGGATGAAATAGGTGTTTTTTTCCACTGTTGGATGTAAGATAATATATATATATATATATATATATATATATATATATAATATATATATATATAGTAGAAGCACAGGATAAAAGGTACCAGTGCTGGAAATGTTTCCGGGAGCATTGGTACCAAATAGAAACATTGTTGTTGCTCCAAGAAACATTCTACCCGACACCAACGCTTCCAAACCAAAAAAAAAAGACATCATTTTCTCAGAAAACGGTGCTGCCAACCCAGACATCAACAGCACCATTTTCTATGTCAGACATTGCCTTGATTTTCAATCTTTCTCGGTTTGATTGGGAGAAGATCTTTCGGTTGAAAGATTATACCTCAAAAAGCGTGAAAAACTCAATTCGGAAGAAGACTAGAAATTGAGCTTCTCGCATTTTCTCATGTTTAATTTGGCTATGTTTGGTTTGAAAGAAATGGCGGGGGGAAGGTATGGGAAAACTGTACGCTATCCCTTCCTTTAGCTACCTAAAAATTCTGTTCTGTGGGACTTCACAATAGATTCTTCATATTTAATATCAAATAAGACAATTGAAATAATAGTGTGGCTTCTCTCATTGACGACAAAGACTACATGAATTATGGTAATTAAGCTATACCATGTGATCCGATCCGGACATTGAAAGTCAATTCCCGAAGCATCAAGATATATACAGATTATCATTAACATCCGGGCACTGAACATTGGATGGCCAAAGAATCCTAAAAGGTGATCATATGAGCTAGCGATTAATTGAAGATATAAAGTATAGGAGATCAGAGATCTGGACCCAACCACAAGATCCCATCTGTATTTTGTCAAGTATTTGCCAACCCATCCACCGTATGGATACCTGGTAAGTATCGATTTCACTGGTAAATTTGAACTCAAAACACAATGCCTTGCATCCTCTTCTCTTCTATATAGACAGAACCCACCCACTACTCCAATTCATCAAAACCAGTAACCATGCCTTGCAACCTTTTCTCTTCTTGCTATTCCACGCTCCTCTTTTCCATCATTCTCTTCTTTTCTCTGTCTTCTGCACAAGATCCCTCCTTGGCTCCTGTGACACCGGAAAATGCTTGTAACTCCACCCCTTATCCTGACTTCTGCAAATCCGTGCTCCCTCGCAATGGGTCTGCCAATATTTATGACTATGGCCGCTTTTCAGTTCGTCAGTCTCTCTCTGCAGCAACACAGATTTCAACTTTGATTAATCAGTATCTCGGATCCTTGCTGCCATTATCAACCACTGTCCTTGAAGTGCTCAAAGATTGTCAGCTCCTTGCAGATCTAAATGTCGATTTCTTACTAAGCTCCGCTAATAGTCTCAGTTCTACCAAGCCTCTCCTCAGCTTGCAGGTTAATGATGTCCAAACCTTTCTTAGCGCTACACTGACTAATCAACAGACTTGTTTGGATGAACTTCAGACATTCGCATCAGCTTGGAGCGCCAAGATTGGAATTTATACCCCTCTCTCCAATGGAATTAAACTGTACAGCGTCTCTCTAGCACTGTTTACTCGTGGTTGGGTTCATAAAAACGGCAAAGTTAAGGGGAGAAAGCTCATGTTCGACGACCAGGAAATGGGTCAACATGGTCGCCTACCATTGATAATGTCAAGCCACAACCGCCACATCTACGATGTTAGCAGAAGGAAGCTTCTTCAGACAACTACGCCAGATGTCTTAGTGAGAGACGTGGTAGTCGTGAGCCAAGATGGAAGTGGAAATTTCACAAGCATCAACGATGCCATCGCCGCAGCTCCCACCAACACTAAAGCAAACAAGGGCTACTTCTTGATTTATGTAGTCGCCGGAATCTACGAAGAGTACGTAACCATTGCTAAAAATAAGAAGAATTTGATGATAATAGGAGACGGTATTGACCAGACCGTGATCACAGGCGACCGAGGTGTGGTTGATGGTTGGACTACATTCAATTCTGCAACACTGGGTGAGCTTGGAAGATCAAACTAACCTTCTTTCGTCCCAATTAAGCGACTACTGTCTTACAATTTCATTAACAGCATTGACACTTGATTATCTCCTCTCCGTGCAGCTGTAGTTGGACAGGGGTTCGTCGCTGTAAATATAACGGTTCGCAACACTGCAGGAGCAATCAAGCACCAGGCAGTGGCGGTTCGGAATGGAGCAGACATGTCGACCTTCTACAGTTGCAGCTTCGAAGGCTACCAGGATACCTTGTACACCCATTCCCTCAGGCAGTTCTACAGGGAATGTGATATATATGGAACTGTGGACTTCGTATTCGGAAATGCTGCCGCTGTTTTCCAAGACTGCAACATATATGCTCGGCTGCCGATGCAAGGCCAGTTCAATGCTCTCACGGCCCAAGGCAGAACAGACCCAAATCAGAACACCGGAATTTCCATTCACAACTGTAAAATTATGGCAGCTCCAGACTTGGCTTCAAGCAATGGCACAACAAGATCTTATCTGGGGCGGCCATGGAAAGAATACTCCAGGACTGTGTATATGCAATCTTTCATTGATAGTTTTATAGATCCCACTGGTTGGAGAGAATGGTCTGGTGACTTTGCACTGAGCACGCTCTACTACGCAGAATACAGCAACACAGGACCCGGAGCAGTGACAGCAGACAGAGTTACTTGGCCCGGTTACCATGAGATAAATGACACAGACGCAGCAGATTTCACTGTCTCTAATTTTGTAGTAGGTGACTATTGGTTACCTGCCACAGGAGTGCCTTATAGTGGAGGCTTGCTGTGAAAAACACTGTGAGTCTGAGATGGGTTTTACTTCTATCGTTCATCCTTTTGCCTCTTGTTTTGTATCGTTTTAGTTAATTAAACAGAGATGCTAATCCTTTAATTCATAATAGCTGAATGAAGAATATGTTCTAATGTTCTAATAATCTTTTAAAGCCTTAATTAAGCACAAGAGTTCATAACCCTATGCCTCGTCTTGATTGTTGATGGCTGGGGAAGGGATTGCTCACATGGACACACCTGTCAAATTTGTCTTAATGGATACTGATAAACAGGATAAGATCACATTGAGAAAATTTATTAGGTGGTTAGCTAGGGTTCCCATGGAGTAACTAGTTCAAGGGTGTTCTTATCCAATGTGTTGTCTGGATTTTTTTCATCTCAGCTCAGCTCCCACTGATGAATGGTCCTCATTCAATAATCACAGAGAATATAGAGGGAGGGCCCCCATGGTTACTGCAAGGAGGTTTCCTCCCTTCAGACTTCAGTCACCATGTTTAACCTGGAAGATCACCTGTTTGGAAAGTCAGATGAATAGAAAATTTTCTACCATCTGATATATGAATCGTCTTGTTACGTTTAGAACAGAACCTCTCTGATGGTAGGTCACCATCTTCTTAGAAATGTGGTAGCTTAAGAGGGTACTCTGAAAATATCCAAGGAGATACTCTTTAGTGAGTGATAAATAAACAACAAGGTAAGTTGAGCTGTGCACCAGCTGTGGTGAAAGCTTCGTTACAAAAAGAGATACAAGATCAGCACTTACCTCACTCCCTGTTAATAAATGATGTGACCACGGAACAAGAATATAACGCTGGCCCTCATCACAGGAAAACAAGGAATAAATTGGGTCATATATCTTTATTCTTTCTCACAATGAGTTTATATATGCAACTCTTCTCAACTTCCCTTACACACATTGTCACTGTGGGATCCATAAAAAGAAGAAAAGAAAATCGCTGCAAGACAAAATTGGACCTCTTTTCGTGGTCCTACAATGTCTGTGCAGCTAGCGTGAAGAAATCCAAGTTGCAGAAACTTGTTACATAATCAAAAATGCAAAAGGGATAGATGTACAACATATGTAGCTTAAATTCATTGTTTACTAGTATTCATCTTAAACATCTCTTAGCTTTAATTCAGGATCTTATAGCATTGTAGCTATAAATTAAATATGAACATTATATTTAGGAAGCATTCCCTAGTTATAAAAGCCACTTTGAACTTTTCATAGGTTGGGATCTGCCACAAACGATACATGTACAATCCAGTAATCCAATCATGAGTAGTGAACATATTAGTTATGCTGTGCACAATTACCAGCTATATAGATTTTTGACATGTTGACTCCTGATTGGATTAACTTGTACATTTTTGTTTATAAAAGACCCTGAATCATCTCTCTCATGAAAATATATTAAAAAAAAAGAGCCCATTGAGTCCCATGCTTTCAACCCATCGTTGGCCCAAATGATTCAACTGTTCAGCCCATCACCAAAAGCCAAGATGAACCAATTTGACACTGAACTTGTAAATAAACAAAAACTAGAGAATGATGACCACCCCATATTAAATGCGGGGCCAATATTCTGATAAATTTTGTTTGACACCCATCATCTATATTCTAAAATTAGGTTAATTTTTTTTATATATAGACTTGTTATTTAACTTATTTTATTGGAAATTATGCTAAGAGAGTATAGTAGTACAGTGAGAGGTAGGACTTTAAATATCTTGCGATCAGTATTTATGATAGTCTATGCTTTCTGAATTTGATGTTAGAAGTTAGAACTCAAAACCAGCCTCTCTCACAGTTGAGACGATCGTTATTGGTCAGATTTTTTTTTCTTTTTTTATTATGTTGGTGGTACGCCCATGTACCACATAAAGGACTGTTGTCTGTAGTGCAACACCATACCCATAACACCCCTCCCCCCAAACTTGGCGGCAAAGGGATTGGATCCTACATTTCGGCTATAACCAGCTCAAGGTCATACCATTTGAGCCGTTGTTGACGAGTTTATAGCAACTGATCCTATGTTTCAACTAACCAGTAGACCTCTGGCCTGGCCTGGCCTAGCCTCGCCTAGCCTGTTATAAGTCAGATTTGGCCATAATTTTAGGTATGTGGATTCGGGCTTGGGCTTAAAGCATTGGGTCTGAATTTTTTTGGATCGGGCTCAGGATTTTTCAAAAAAACCCAATTCAAGTTTAAGCTCGACTTGATACTAGACCTGTCCATAAGTTAGGCTTGGGTTTAGCTTTTGTAAAAATTCTAATGGGCCAAGCCCAAAACCTGAACCCGAGACAATGTAAAGTTGGACCCAAAGCCCGGCCTGTGAACAGGTCTACTTGATACTTTATATTAAATAAATATATATATATATATATACAATATTTTTTTCGTTGTTCCTCTTCTCTTTTTTTCCACGTAATAGTGAGACAGACCTAGGCCGGGCTCGGGCTTGGGCTTCGGGCTTTATATGTGGGCTGGGCTCAGGCTCAAGACCTAGGCCTGATGGTCGGATTGGGCTCGAGCTTGGGCCTAAATGTATTCTATTAAAACATATACAAAACCCAGCCCGGCCTGGCCCATGAACAGATCTACTAACCAGCTTAGAGGTCGTACCAATTGTCCCAAAGTGCCTGGAACACAAGAGGAAGGATTTGAATCCTCTCTTAACGTTTTTTACTATTTATACTATTTTTTATAAAACATATATTTATTAGGGCTTGGCTCTGATACCAAAATAACTTATAACCAATCAATTCTTATCATATGCTCTTTATTAAAATTTACATGCTTGGGTTTGATTTGGTCAAAGCTCATCCATTATCATATCTTTCTGGCATAGAGATTTCCCCGTAATTTAGGCTTATAATCAAGTAATAGGGATGGATATCTGTGTTAAATATAATCAGGTTTGGGTATCAGGTATCTTAAAGACAAAATCCAAATCCATGCTTTGGGTTAGGAAAAACTAAAATGAGCCAGACAAGAAAGTGCAGTAAGTGTTTGATACGAATTATTTTTAATTAAAAACATGACAATTTAATGCCAAAATACTTGAGCCCCAAATCACAGACTAAAATTGGGGATTTGTAGTTTTGGCCTTCATAAGCACCAATAAAAAAAAACATTAATCATGTGGAGGCTTATCGAAACGCAATCTCGTCAGTTTGGGTCTCATTGCATATTATTCTCCTTAGACTTCTATAATTAAAAATTAAAAGAAAGAATAGCTATAAACTCCAATATTTCATGTCGGTGGCTGGGTCCAAAGGGTGATATTTCGTGAAATATCGCAAATTATCATCATCTCCCATCTCTACTTGCAGGATTATTCCTGGTATAGCCGCCTCCGCCAACGGAAGGAAATTGATTCATTGACTCGAAGAAAACCCAAGCTGTGACACAAACAATTTTGATGTCTCCCCAACCCGGAGCCTCATTTCACTGCTATCTGCAATCCTCTCGCATACATTCTTTCTCTTAAACGCGTTTTCGGGTTTGTCTACAAAAAGTTCGGCAAAATTAGAACCAAAGACGCGTTTCACATTTTAATAAAGAGGCGAGGCGAGGCGAGGCAAGGAGAAGATAAAACACGAATGATTAAATCGGATTTAGTCCTCACAAAACCATGTTTGCACAGTGCCTTACAAGTATGAAGATAGTTTCAATGCACGGCTATAAAAGGCTGTATAAACGGTGTGAGCACTGAATCAATCTCGATTATTTGTGGTTCACTGACTCTTAGTTAAGGTTTTTAAAATCGGACTGGACAGAAAATCGTTCTAGGGTCTGGTTCCTGAGCCGAATGGTCTAACTGTCTGATCCGAACAGATAGCCCACTCTAACAAAAAAATAAAAAACAAATAACAAAAAAATGGCCAAAAACCGTTATCCGGATTGATGGTTCAGTGGTTTGATCGCCCGAGTTAACAGTTTACTGATTAAATCAACGGTTTTGAGGTGAAACAGAACCTATCAGATAATCTGTTCCTATTTTTCTGGTCCAACCGTCTGATCCCATCCAATTTTAAAAACACTATTCCTAGTGTAAAACCTTATATTTATATTATTTTATATGCATTTAATTATTCATAATTATGTTAGTATGGTAAAACTTACCTTTTGAAACATTCAAATTGTTAAAATTTGAATGGGCCCGATACAGAATATATTCTTAAAATTGGATACCCAACTAGCACCCCTAGAGAAGATCATAATACACTGTTAAAGGTGAAGTCGTAGATGAAAAGGAAAGAAAATAAGTTAATAAGAAGTGGAAAATGTATAAAAGGGGTGTTTGCCACCATATGTGACTTTCGTTTTAAAAATCAAAATCATCTATATATATTGGCCAAATCCCCTAAAAAGGTGAAATCATCTAATATAATATTGTTTTTACTGATGATTCTGGCGAAGGCTCTTCTATTTGATGGGACCCGTCCAAAGTTGGGTATGAGTATGACTACAGATATATGGAATCCGCCTTAACCAGTGAGAAGAAGGACGAGAAGACGAAGACTTTGGTAGCCCAAAATAGAAGGGCGTGCGTAATCGTGGGGAGCCAGTACAAGGGACCGACGCCCGAGCCTATTAATAAGGCCAATACACACATGACACACCCAACTTGTTGATTGGCACTCTTCATATTTACGTTACGTTTTCTTCTCCTTTTTTCTTTTGTTCTTTGTCTCTTTGTTTTATTTCCTTTGTGTTTTTATTTTTTGATCGACCCTCCCCCTTAAATTTTTGTGCCAGAGGGGCCTAACCTTCCTCCGGTTTTGTAGTTCCAATTACTCGGACAAACAATTTCTAATTTTCTATATATTAACCCATGAATTGATTGTCCCTGAATTGTCCCATTGACCCGTTTGAGTGTTTCTGTTATTTAATCATATATCAAAGACTGCTAGCCTGAATCAGAAGATCATTCATATTGCAAATAACGTACCCCTTAGTTTGTCAAGCCCAAAATAGATTCAAGAAATGAAGAAAATCCTTGTTTTCCCGTGCATGGTTTTTCTATGGGCTGAAATGGTCCAAAGTGCCGACCTGTTCTCAACCAATTTCTCTCTAACATTTTGTTTGTTATTCACTGTTAAAAATAATTGAGGCCAATCAGCCCAAGAATTCTCTGCAAGTGTAGTAGACTGCCTTTTGAGATTATTGAAAAATGACAATTAGTAGTAGAACAGCTTACTGGCTTCTGTATTCATGATAAAGATTGAAGCAGATTACATAGGTACACCGTTTTCTGACTTGGACTTCAAAGGGACGGTGGGACTGTTCTTACTGGGAATAGAGACAGCCACAACAGTTCTTGGGATGCCCGCGGGTTTCTTAGAAATGTTGATTGGGTTAAGTCAACCAAATATATGTGTTGATTAATTAGTATTCTTTCAACTTGTAATACAGATTTCTTTAAGCTTATTTTGATATAAAATTGCTTTATATGATAGATTGAAACCAAATATTACTATTTCCTCTATTAGTATTCTTTTATTTTCTTTTTATTTGAACTATCCGAGAATTAACACGAGTTTCTGACTTCTGAGTAGTCATAAAAGTCGACTAATTAATACAAACTAACACCTCTTCGATCCCTTCTGTATTGTAGTCACACAAGTTGACCTGAAATATAAAACAAATTAAACATGCCCACATGTATGTTTCTGAGTATCAAATCAATAGTTCTCTTCTCTCTTCTATATCTAGAGGCCTAGCCCACTACTGCAATTCATCGAACCAGTGAGCCTTCTCATTACCATGGCTTCAATCTCCTTCTTTGCTTTCTCTGCTGCCCTTCTCGTCCTCCTTTTCTTCTCCTCTTGGTCTCTTGCACAAAATCCTGCCCCGACACCTATTGCACCGGAAAATGCTTGTAACTCCACTCCTTATCCTTACTTCTGCAAATCTGTGCTCCCACAGAATCAGTCAGGTAGCATCTATGATTATGGTAGATTTTCGGTTCGCCGATCACTGTCTGTGGCGACAAAGTTTTCGACTTTGGTTGATCGGTATCTCAGGGCCCGGTTAACACTGTCAACACCTGCAATCCGGGCGCTGGAAGATTGTCAACTTCTAGCAGAATTAAATATGGATTACTTGTCTAGCACGGTTAATACTATCAGTTCTACCGGGTCTCTGCCCAGCTTAGAGACCGATGATGTCCAGACATTGCTTAGCGCCATAATGACTAACCAACAAACTTGTTTAGATGGGCTTCAGTCTACTACCTCAGCTTGGACTGTTGTCAAGAATGGCATCTCCACCCCTCTTTCCGACGGAAACAAACTCTACAGTGTGTCTCTTGCACTGTTCACCCGCGGCTGGGTTCACAGAAAGAACAAAGCCAAGGGGAGAAAGCTCATGTTCTCCGACATGGAAGTAGGTCGACATGCAGCTGGTCGCTTACCTCTGATAATGTCGAGCCGGAATCGGGAGATGTATGAATCGGTTAGCAGAAGAAAGCTTCTTCAGACAACCGTGCCCGATGTCCTAGTGAGAGAGATGGTGGTGGTAAGCCAAGATGGAAGCGGAAATTTCACCACCATCAACGACGCTGTAGCTGCAGCTCCAAACAACACCAAAGCAAGTGATGGATACTTTTTGATTTACGTTGTTGCCGGGATCTATGAGGAATATGTATCCATTTCTAAGAAAACCAAGTATCTGATGATGATTGGAGACGGCATTAACCAGACGATAATCTCAGGCAACCGAAGCGTAGTTGATGGGTGGACTACATTCAATTCTGCAACATTGGGTACGTACGCTTGCGTAGTTGATGGGTGGACTACATTCAATTCTACATTCAATTCTGCTAATTAGTTAACTAATTATCTTGATATGTATATATTCTTCTTATTGCAGCTGTGGTTGGAGAAGGTTTCGTGGCAATAAATATAACAGTCCGCAACACCGCTGGGGCAATCAAGCACCAGGCAGTGGCAGTCCGGAATGGAGCAGACTTGTCGACATTCTATAGTTGTAGCTTCGAAGGCTACCAAGATACCTTATACACCCATTCCCTCAGGCAGTTCTACAGGGAATGTGATATATATGGAACTGTGGACTTCATATTCGGAAATGCTGCCGCTGTTTTCCAAGACTGCAACATATATGCTCGGCTGCCGATGCAAGGCCAGTTCAATGCCCTCACGGCCCAAGGCAGAACAGACCCAAATCAGAACACCGGCACTAGTATTCAGAACTGTAACATTAGAGCAGCTTCCGACTTAGCATCTAGCAGTGGCACCACCAAAACCTACCTTGGGCGACCATGGAAGCAGTACTCTAGGACCGTCTATATGCAATCCTTCATTGATAGCTTGATAGATCCCGCAGGTTGGATGGCATGGTCTGGAGATTTTGCGCTGACCACGCTCTACTACGCCGAGTACAACAACACAGGGCCTGGATCAGGGACTACGGATAGGGTTACGTGGCCTGGTTACCATCTCATAAATGCCACGGATGCAGCCAATTTCACTGTCTCTAATTTCCTATTAGGGGATAATTGGATACCCACCACTAAAGTTCCTTACACTAGCGGCTTGCTGTGAAAAATACACTTTGCTTATTTGCTCTCGATCTTGTTTGTCCAATAAATTTAATTATTCAGTCTGAATATACAATTATCAGAATTAATTGTCCCCATTCCCCAAGCGTGCGTGGCTAATTAAGCTTGCTTTGGGTGGGGTCATCTTCCTATGTATGTATTAATCATGTTTTAAACACTGAAAACAGTGTTATTGTAAGATGTACGCAGCTAGCCCTTCAATTCATTCCAACTTCCAAGAGATGAAGGATAGATATATTCTAAATTTTGTGGTTCCATCTTTCCATTAATTGTACTTTAAACCTCAAGTAGCAATGATTGTGATAAGTAGTCAAAAGCTCAAAAGGCTGTGGCGCGGCTGACATGAATGGCTCCGTCGACCGTCATTGGCCGAGACTCGAGCATAAATCAGTGAACGATGAGGCATATATTATCAGATGGTTGGTCTGGGTTTTCTAGGTCAGCCATCGTCCAAAAAGAAAAGCTTTACGATCGATATGCCGTCTGCAGTGAGGGAGATGACCTGAAATCGGTGACTTAAAAATTCTGGGTCCAAGTTGAAGAAACTCACCAGACGTAACTCGCAAGTTGTTGAGCTGGTTATTGGGTTTGAACACCATTAACCCTTCTAAATTAAACTAAATTTTAATGACGGTTCTGTTATATATCCATTAGTCTGTCTTTTGTTTTGTTTTTCTTTTTTTGAAGTTTCAGCTTGTTCTCTTCTTTCTTTCTTTTCTTTTCTGTTTTTTAACAGAAGCTTGGGCCAAGATTTCGGAGAGGATCACGGATGTTGAATACGAGTGATGCAAGAGGTTACCGTCCCAACAGGCTAAGATGTAAGGTCAACATTTTCCGTTGATCCAGACAGGTAGGGATCAAGTAGTTGGCTAGCTATCAGGTTTAGGCGCTTAACTTGACCATATCGGTCAACAATTTGTAAACCCGTATTGCAATTTGCAAGGATATTGATAAATGGAATTTTTATTTAATGTTTTTTAGGGAGAACACCCCATATAGTTGTCATTTACTAAAACACCTTCTCTAGTTTTCAATCCATTTACTTAATCGACCTTTTCATTAAGAATTGTTTATTTTTCCATCTAAAAATAGTAACATGATCACTTAAACTGAATGGAAAATATTCAAGGTTATGAGCTCATCTCATGTCTTATTAGGGGCAAAAATGGTTTTTTATTCTTATTTTCTTTTGATTAAATTTATATAAATGGATAGGGTCAGAACTGTCGTTTTCTACTATCATCTAAAGAAAGGTTGATTAAGTAAATTGATTGCAATTTGCAAACTAGAGAAGTGTTATAGTAAAATGTAATTTACAAAGTTAGGATTTAGTAAATCTATGAAACTATAGGGGGTGTTTTAGTAAACGATCCTTCTTTTTAATTAACAAAAGAAAGTAAGAGTAATCATTTCGGGCCGGCCCAGAAATTCTAGACTTGGGCCTAGGTTTTGTGTTCAGGCCAAACCAGGGCCCGCAAATTTCGGGGTCTGACCTTGCCTGAGACTAATACTTCGAACCCATAATATGTAATAAATTTATATGCATGATATATGACATTTAATATACCATATTATATAGGTGTAATATTTTATATACAAAAGAAATAGGCTATGAATTACGCCCAGACTGGGCCCAGGGTCATGTTTCAGGCCCATAACCTGGGCCGGTTCTAAGTATGATCATTTTGAATTTCCGTAGCATTCTCCTATAACGCTCTGCTTGTTTGCAGTGCAAATTTGAACCAATTAGAAATTTTGACCTGGTTAAATTTTGCATTCATTTATTTTTATCATGATTTTCATTCCTAACTGATACGAAATTTATTTTCATTTGCATGCACTGCAGTAACCACATCGTTTTACTTCCTATTTTACATCATTTTACTGTAACCTCCCATGCATCCACACCAGTGCAAATTAATTTCACACTGCAATCAAACGCTGCTTAAACAAGCTTACACTGCCCAGTGGGCCGAGTTGGAGATCAGGTTTACCGAGGCGTCAACCTAAGCCTAACTCTACCAAAAAGAAAAGCTAAGCCTAACTAAACTTTTTAAGCTTTGATTGTATTGGTAGTTGAGGCCCACGCCCAGCCCATGGTTGTGAACCTCGGTTGAATCTTATATTGAGCCAGTTTCAAGATGTTCTAGCCCACTAAAACACGCACTTTTAATTGGTGTTAAAATTTGATCCATCAATAGTCAATAGAAGATAATGAGAAGAATATATGGGCTATTCCTAGCTATTTTGGACCTTAAATGATCTTTCAACGTGGAAGATTCCTTGGTCATTCAACCTTGCAAGATTTCCCATACAACTAGCAGACCTATCCATCACCCATACAAAATTTCCCATCTTATTGCATTTGTTTGGAAATACTTAATTCATATTCTCCGTCACTGTTACCAATTTGTTCCATGATAAATTTAGGACACATAAGTGAGATCCTCCTCTCATCTCATGCCAAACCCAACATTTACTAACCAACCGAACTCAATCCTAAAGAACTAGGCCCTCATCATATCAGATGGGTTGAGTCAGTGTATTTTGTTTAAGACCTAGGTGGGTTGGGTTTGGCTCGGTGACAAAACAAACCAACCATCCCAAGTAGCAACCCAACTCGGACTGGATTTAGTCTGGTAGTGGAGGAACTCTAGCCCAACCCTCAACACTTGAGATTTTCTTCCCCCATTCCCACGCACAAAGTTACATACTTGGATACAATAATCTAACACATCTTCTTGTGGTTGGATCTTGGATCCGGTAGAAGGAATTCTCAATCCTAACCCACATCTCTTCTCAACCTCTCAACCCTAACATAATCTGATCTTGAATGGGGTGACGTTTTCTAACGCTAAACAATTATTCAATCCAAGCCCTCTTTCTGGACTGGGTTTTGGTTAGCTCAACAATAGTTGCATCCCTACCTTCTATATGCAATAATGCATCAGCGAAAATCTAGCGTTATGTGCTTGAGCTAGGAGATAGACATTTTGGCCTTACAATTGGCTTTCAGGAAAGCACCCTTAATTGATTGGATTCATCCCGACTTCATCTAGATGGGTTGTTTGTGGATTGATTTCTGGAAACCGCGTTGTTCTAACTATAAATCAAAAGTCAAAAAGGGGTTGCTAAAGAACATTAAAATGGAGGGTGGAGTATAGGGGCCGGAGTCGGTGGCTGTGCTAGTGTGTATTCAACCAGAGCTTTCTTCTTTTATAATAAAATTATACTAATGTCATAATATGATTTTAGACTTTTTCTTATTGAGTGGGAATTGGAATATGATCCTCTCTGTTGTTTTGGGGATTTCAAGTCAATGTGACAGTCATTACTATCTGTGTTTTTTTCTAAATAATAAATTTTATAAATTGATTGCCAGTCATTACTCATTAGATTAATTATCAACATGTCTAGGAAATCAAACTGTTTTATCTAATAATTGATATAAGTATTTTGATCATATATATTTTCAAAAAGAAAATAAATTTCAAAATTTTACAATTCTCTCAGCGTTTGTTTGGTTTAATAGGAACTTCAATTCTTCAAAAATAATTATATGACAAATTTATAAAATTTAAGTTTTTAAGGGAATGTTTGTCAATGTAGAAATAAGTAAGGATTAGGATTTCCATTACCCAGTAGTTGAGATGATCACTCGGTGTCTCTCCGGAGACAAAAACATGAGATCAAATGTGTGAAACTGCAGATAGTGTTGTATGTCAGTTAGGGCTGCAAGTTGGGCCGGGTTAGGTCGGATTGACACCAACCCTAGCTTAATCCTAAGTTCTAAACCCCCAACCCTAACCTTAACTAAATTCTTTCAACCATAACCCAACCAAAGCCAAAGGGCTGGGTTCAGGTTGGGTCCAACCCAACCTTCTTCCCTTCCTTTAAAATTTTGTAAAATTTCTTAATCTTAGATCTTAACTTTCATTACATATATTAATCTTATATTTTATTAGTATTTGTTTGTTGATGTTTTTATTGGTTCTTTTCAGTACAAAAGTCAGAAAAAAATGTGTTTGAAATGACTGTAGTTTATTATGATGATTTATAATATGGGTGGCAAACAACAGAGAGGAGATAAAGAATAAAATATTCAAAAAACATAAAATATGTTATCAAGGTTTTAGTATTTTTAATTAGGATTAAGTGAAGTGAATATTTTAAATGAAATAAATGATAGTATGTGGTAGTGGCTATACAACTATAACGCATCTAAACAAATCAATGTATGATCATATATAATATATATTTATATATGATATATACTATAAAGTCGGATTCGGGTTGAGTCAGATTGCCCAAAAGGTCAACCCTAACCCAACCCAAAATAAAATCAAATTCATAAATTTCAACCTAATCCTATCCCGAACATCAACCCAACCCAATTTTTTTGGGTTGGATTAAAGTTGGGTTCAAATTAACCCAGCCCAAGTTACAACCTTATAAAGCAACAAATTTCCCCCGTTAAACATGTTATATGCTCATTACGCGAGTCATCTACTGCTCGAAACATGAAATCTTTTGATTTCGTTTTTCTTCTATTTATCTTTATCTTTTTCAGAAGAGGAGGTTCCAGATTTTTCCGTCTTATTCACATATGAAACATTTGCACATATAAGAGGAGTAAGGAGATAACGGAGAAGTAGAAAAATATATTTAATAAAATAATAGTGGTCCGGACGTGAGGCCAAACCACGAAAGACGAAATCACGAATCGGATAAAGATAAAACAAATAAAAGTGTGGTTTGGATATTAAAATTACATTAAAAGACAAATTGGATGATTTGCTCCCGGGCGGAAGCGAAATCATTAATATTGGATGAAGTGAATGACATGGAAGCTTCGTGCCATTCTTGTATGACTTGCATTCTCCAAAAACCCTATGCCTAGGGATGACCATGGACTGGGTCGGGCCCGGGCTGGGTTTTATAAGGTATCAACAGCATTAAGGTCTGTAAGGGCCTGGACCAGCCCGGCTCGCACCCTGGGCCTGATATTATATGTTTGGGCCCGGTTCCAGGACAGCTGGGCCAGACATATGGGTTTCTCCATTTGAATTAAAATTAAATTTTTAATTCAAATTTATATTCATAATTACAGAAAGATATATTTAAAAATAGTGATGTATATATTAATATAATACCATATATATAAACATTTATTACATTTATATAGATATATATATTTAGTAAAATATTATACCATGTTATTATAAAAAAAATGTAAGATATTATACGTCTAATTTCTAAGTCGGGCTCGGGAAGCTGGGCCTAAGACTCACAGGCTCGGCCTACATTGCGTGTGGGCTTGATGCGGGTCCAGGTTGGGCTGAGCTTGACAAGAATATGATTGGCTAGGGACAAAAAAATGATGGGTTAAGCTAGGCTGGATCAAAAATGATCATCTGTACCTAACCCCCTCTCCCCAACCAAGGTGATCAAGGCGGGATTAGACCAAAGCTTACCCTATCAAGATCAATCCCAAGGGTTAATTGCAAATAGGTATCATATACTTTGGGGGCGGTCTAACTTTAGAGTCTGAACTTTCAAATGGGCCACTTTAGTACTAAGCTTTGAGAAATATATGTTTAACTCTGTTAAATTAAAATTATGAAAAATTCCCATGTTTTGACTCTCTTTTTTCTGCTATTTTCATTTTTTTACTTGGGTTGATTGCATACGTCATTTGGATGGACAGTATTAAATGAAGTCTTGGTGTATTATTTAGATGGTTGGAATTGATTGAGTAATTAATCTTATTGAAGACTGTATACATTGCTTAGATGGCCAATATTAATTCTTTGCTATTAGGTAAGAAGCATTTAATTAATAGCCTGAACTTTTATTAGATGGCCTAGATCAATTAAATCTTCATTAATAAATGATTTGGACGGCAGTGATTAAAGCACTAATCTTAACTGACCACTGTGCTGGCCCAAATATTTTCTTTAATTTGGTATACATTATTTACATGGACTATTTTTTTTTTATTTGGAGAATTTCTTGCATTGATCACGTCATGAATTACTTGAAATCATTGATCACTTGGATTTTTAAGATGGCTGATTGATCATGAGGCATATGAATTTAATGTCTAATATCTCTAATTAAAAAAAAATCTTAGTAACATTAAATGGCTTCAAATAAAATAAAATAAAATAAATCCATCCAAAGGAGTAGATAAAAACATTTTAGGTTTGTTTAAACTCATTCTAGAATTTTAAAAATACCCAACTATGCACATGCATACACATGGCTACATAGCCTATATATACATTTGGCTCCTCTTGAGTTCAAGAGTTTTGTCATATTAATTTATTCAATGAGCTAAAAATAAGCCAGACAAACAGGTCCTTCTTCAGTCCATTCTCTGTATCCCAACCCGACCAAAACCCCGTGGATGCATGGTATGTCATTGTCTAACACGCTGAAATGAATGTACAATTCTCTACTGAAATTGGTTCGCCACTTTCTTCACTTGTCAAGCTTGAACCGAGTTTGGATCACCTGTCAATAAAACACGTTTCAACCCTCTACCAACATAATCTCACACCACATGGTGAAATGTGTGGTGTTAGATTAAGCTAGTAGAGAATTGGAACGTGTTTTGTTGGTAGAAGATCTGAACATGTAAAATGACAGGTCGTATCTCTTAACCGCCGGGACTGAACCCAATCTCCGTCAATACAACCCCTCGTCAACTTCTGAGTTGCTTAGCATGAACCTAGCGTCTTGGTTCTTAGCCTCTTCACCACAATAACCTTCCCAAGATCCAACCGACTAGTTCTCAACTAATCCAATTCGTTTATTTTATTCTTTTATTCTTAAATAACAAGTAGGAACCCCGCCGATCAGCCGCTCAGAATTAACTGTTCATTGTCATTGGTGTAGAACTCGGCTTTTGCGTTTGGGGACTCTTGTATCAGGATTCAGGATCAACGCGCTTTTGGGTGGCCATAGAAGTTGACCTTATACATTAAATAGTCGTAAATTCAAAATTATTAATTATTATCACCTCCCTTCTTCTCTGTGCAGTGAGAATGGTTGACTTCAAAATATAAAAACAAACTAACGCAACGTTCATGTTCATCTAGATCTAGGTAGGGTGGGTTCTAGCTAATTAATCAGTTTCATCTTCTACATTATTAATCTCTATATATGCACCTAACCCACTACTGCGCTTCATCAATCAAACCCAGTAGTTAAGCCTTTCCCAAAACCATGGCCTCTAACCTCTTCTCCTCCGTAGCTCACCTTCTTGTCATTCTCTTTCTCGTCTCCTCTTTCTCCTTGTCACTTGCACAGGATCCTGCATCAACTCCAGTCGCACTCGATAATGCCTGCAACTCCACTCTCTATCCTTACGTCTGCAAATCAATGCTCCCTAGCAACCACTCAAACAATATCAAGGACTATGGCCGGTTCTCGGTCCGCCGGTCTCTATCAACAGCGAAGAAGTTCCTGAATTTGATTGATCGGTATCTCAAAAACCGGTCGACTTTGTCAACAACTGCCATCCAGACACTCGAAGACTGCCGTTTCCTAGCGGGATTAAACATGGATTTCTTATCAACTACTCTGCAAACTCTCAATTCTACCAAACCTCTCCTCAGCTTGGAAACTGACGACGTCCAAACTTTGCTTAGCGCCATAATGACTAACCAACAGACTTGTCTAGACGGCCTTCAGGTAACGAAATCAGCTTGGAGCGTCAGGAATGGTATTTATACCCCTCTCTCCGATGGGAACAAACTCTACAGTGTCTCTCTGGCACTGTTCACTCGTGGCTGGGTTCATAAAAAGAGCAAAGTAGTAAAGCCGAGGAAGCTTATGTTCTCAGACATGGAAGCGGTTCGAGACGGTCGCTTACCTCTGCAAATGTCGAGACGAAACCTGGAGTTCTATGAGTCGGTTAGCAGAAGGAAGCTTCTACAGACAACTGTGGCCGATGTCCTAGTGAGTGACATGGTGGTGGTGAGTCAGGACGGAAGCGGAAACTTCACCACCATCAATGATGCAGTCGCTGCTGCTCCGAATAACACCAATGCCAGCGATGGCTACTTCCTGATTTACATTGCCGCTGGGATCTACGAGGAGTATGTCTCCATTGCCAAAAATAAGAAGAATCTGATGATGATCGGAGATGGCATTAACCAGACTGTGATCACTGGCAACCGAAGCGTGGTTGATGGATGGACCACATTCAATTCTGCAACCTTGGGTAAGCTAACTTAGAACGTTGAAATGAATTAATCTCTGTAAGAGAGAAAGTAATCTAATTAATATTTGGTTTGCATGCATGCAGCTGTGGTTGGACAAGGGTTCGTCGCAATAAATATAACAGTTCGCAACACTGCCGGAGCAATCAAGCATCAGGCGGTGGCGGTTCGGAATGGAGCAGACTTGTCAACCTTCTACAGCTGTAGCTTCGAAGGCTAC